ATTCTGTAGTATTCATTCCACCTCATTTCATTTCTGTATTTTATGTATATAAGTTTAGATTAGTTCTTTATAGCTGGTTTACACAGCTTTGTGTATGTATGTGTATGCATATATGTATATATGTATATGTATATGGGCCATCAGAGTCTAATCGGCAAATAGCATCATTGAATTCTGTAGATCAATAAATCATTTTCAATTCCTTCTAATGATTTCTCTCTATTGAATTAGGTTTGCTTGACCACCTAAAATTGGATGGATACCATCTCCAGAAAGACTGGAGAAGTATAAAGTTCACTGTTCAGATCAGGGGTCAGATTGGTTGAAACGTGTAATGTAACAACACAGCTTTGTTTATGGAGGGAATGGTGTTAAAAATAAATCTAAAGTCTTTGAGTCATCTTTATCTACACAAGATGTTCTCTGTGCTCACTGCATAATCCATTTGTGCTTTAAAAAGTGCAGAGTTATGAATTATTAATTAATCCAACAAAAATGGACATCATCAGTGTGATCCAAGTAAAAAATATTCACTATGTTGCCAAAAGTATTCCCTTGTCTGTCTTTACACTTATGAACTTGAGCGATATCCCATTCGTAATCTATGGGGTGCAATAAAACATCAGCCCACCTTTTGAAGCTATAACCGCTTCAGCTCTTCTGGGAAGGCTTTCCACAAGGTTTAGGAGTGTTTATGGGAATTTTTGACCATTCTTCCAAAAGCACATTTGTGAGGTCAGACATTGATGTTGGATGAAATGGCTTGGCTTGCAGTCTCCCCTCTAATTTATCCCGAAAGTGTGCTGTCGGGATGAGGTCAGCACTGTTGTTGAAGACTGGCCCACACAAACTCCTTCATCTCTCTATGGACCTTGCTTTGTGCACTGGTGTGCAGTCATGTTGGAACAGGAAGGGGCCATCCCAAAACCGTCTCCACAAAGTTGAGACCTGGAATTGTTCAAAATGTCTTGGTATGCTGAAGAACTAAGAGTTTCTTCCACTGGAAATGAATGCCCGAGTCCAGCTCCTAAGAAACAACCCCACAACAAATTCACCCCTCTACCACACTTCAACTTGGCACAATGAAGTCAGACAAGCACTGTTCTCCTGGCAATCTCTGCAATCATCCATCAGTTGACCAGATAGAGAAGCCTGATTCATCACTCCAGAGAACACTTCTCCACTGCTCAGTCCACTGGTTGTGTGCTTTACACCACTGCATCTGACGCTTTGCATTGTGTTTATTGATGTAAGGCATGGATGGAGCTGCTCAGCCATGAAAACCCATTCTATGAAGCTCTCTAAACACTGTTCTTGAGGTTATCTGAAGGCAACATTACAATTTGGAGGTTTGTAGCGACTGACTCTGCAGAAAGTTGGTGACCTCTGCACACTATGCACCTCAGCAACAGCTGACCCTGCTCTGTGAGGGTCAGCAGATGGCCTACCACATCGTCGTTACAATGCTGTTGTTCCCAATCGCTTCCAGTTTGTTATAATGCCACTAACAGTTGACTGTGGAAATTTCACAACTAGGCACAGGTGGCATCCTATCACAGAGGTCCTGAGAGAGACCCGTTCTCTCACAAATGTTTGTAGAACGGAAATTGAAAAAGATGAAAAAAATGGACAGGAAGATTTCTGAAGAGAAATTTCAGGTTCAATAATCAGATCGTAGCGTCACAACTGAGCATAAACAACATGAAAGCACAGATCCATCCTGCCTTGTATCAATAGTTCAGACAGGCTGTGGTGGTGTAACTATGTGGCGTATTTTCTTGCCGCACTCTGAGCCCCTTAGAACTCTCTGAGCATCACTTCACATCTGATTTCTTCAACATGACAATGAGTTCTTGTACTCAAAGGGCCTCCACAGTCACCAGATCTCAGTCCAACAGAGTACCTTTGAAAGCAGGTGGAGCAGGAGACTTGCATCATGGGTGTGCTGCCATCAAATCTGCAGCTAGCATGTTAATATTTACCCAAATCTTCAAGCACTTTGATGGATTGGAGCGATGAATTACAGCAGCACTGAAGGCAAAAGGAGTCCTACTTGTTACAGTGTACCTAATACAGTGGCCGGTATGTGTATGTCAGTGTAACATTACTCTACAAAGGAAAAACATACTTTTTGAAATAAAAATTACAATAAAATAAAATAAAAAAAAATTGATGATATGATATATTCTTTTGGTCAGACTGTCGGTGATGTCAGTGATTAACAGTCAGTGTTTTAGTATTTACCATAAAGAGTCCTTGCTTCACTAATGACAACCACATGGGGGCAGTATTACACTAGATTTAATCCAAAATAATGTCAGGAGAAAATCACAATCCCAAAATATATGATGGACATTTTTAAAGCTACTAAAGGTATAACTTCCATTATAAAATGATACATGACGCATGATAGCATCTGTTAGATCCGATGCTGTGAATTATGAGTTAAAACTGTTGCAAGAGAAATGAGTGTAACTCATGTAGAGCCCTAACTTGTAAATCATCGAGTCTTTTTTTAAAAATTATGTTCCTAATACATGATGTTTCCGCTGCTGATCTATCTGAATTAAACTTGTGTGATGTACAGCAAATACCGTCCTTTCACTTTTGCAATTTGAATGTGGTAGAAAGTCTGTGCCAAAAACCATTTTGGCTCCAAAACCCCTTTAATAGCAGAAATAAAAACACAACATGAAATTCTTTAATTTATTTTTAAATTGACATGTTTTGTCTTTTTAAAGTGCAGCAATTTCAAAGAGTTTTACAATCCAGATCAAGTCAGTGATTTACCAGAAAACACTGCATACAAAATGCTAGAATACAGACGCTCTAGTTGAGCCTTTTAAAGATGTACAGTAAAAGACTTGTTGTACTCTTTTATGGAAGCAGACGCTCTTTTACAGACATTAGAGCTTTCACCTGACTGGACTTGGATAAGCCACAACACATTCTCAAGTAGAAAGATATAGATAATTGAAAGAGAACAAAAAGTAATAAAAACAGTATAAAATTTTAATAAGTGAGCAAACACTTGGTTCCAGTCAAAATGCCACACATTTTTTGAGATTTTAAATCTTTTAAGGCTTATTCCAAATAAAAAGGACCAAATCCGAAAAGAAAAAGCTGCTGAAAAATTGCATGGCCTCATTAAATATTTTAAAGTTATTGCAAAAACAAATTCTAAGGTGGTCAGTGGGAGGTACTGATTTACTTAGCATAGTAAATGATTTGTTTTTTATTTTGGTTGTGAAATTTGCCGTTACTTGAAAATCCAGAAAGTCCGTTGCAGAGCAGACAGTGTAGCTTACAGAGTTGTTTCTTGAGCTCTGGCATCATTATGGGAAAATATACAGATTAGAATGTGAGCAGTACTTTTTGTTTCAGCTGTTTTTACTTTTACTTTGAATGACAGATTATTTCTTAATTCTTCCACATGTTTAGTCGTTAACAATGAGAAACTTCAGCAGCACGGAGATGTCAGAGGGAGAGACAATTATGGGAAATTCTGCTTCAACAGGTCGCCACAGTGGGATGAAACATCTTAGTGTTTGCTGAAGCAAACTAGCTAGCAGGCTAATTGTTTTTGTAATTGCACTTAATGACTACTGCAGTCATGTGAAAAACTTTCCACAGTACGATACTACATACATACAACAGTTTATAGAGCCACCTATAGCACCAAAAACGTCAGGTAATTGCTTCTATATGGCTTTATAAGTTTCAACTGTTCTTCTACAAGATTGCTTCAGTTAATTGAGGTTTGCAAACATTCATTAATGCACAGAGTTGACATCTTGGGATCACTGTCCTGTTGCATGGCCCAGTTTAAGCCAAACTTTAGCTGTCTGACAAAGTCTCACATTTCACTGTAGAATACTTTGGTATACAGAGGACTTTGTGGTCAACTCAGTGACTGGAAGGTGTCCAAGTCCCTTGACTGTAAAACAAGCCCAACTAATCTCCCCTCCAGCACTGTGCTTTGTGGTTGGTTTGAGGTATTTGTGCTGATATGCTAGTTTCTGCCACAAACATGGTGCTGAGCATTATGGTCAAACATCTCCACTTTGGTCTCGTCTGACTACAGGACATTGTTCCAGTAATTTTGTAGTTTGTTCATTTGTAACCTTGCAAACCTAATGTGTGCTGCCATGTGCTTTTTTAGGGATAAGAGGCTTTCCTTCGAAACAAAACATATTTGTTCACCTTTTTCCTAATTAAGCACAGCACATTCTGAACTTGGAAGGAAATTTGCTGGGAAGATTGTAGCAGTGTATTAACACACACAACTGAACGCTCCAAACAAGCAAACTGCTACAACTTCTGCATTTGATGAGCAGCATCTGCTCACCTCTTACCATCTTAATTCCTACAGAAGCAATAAGGGTGTACTTGGTTTTTCTACTATTTTTGCTGTCAAATTATTTGAGCATGTGCATCTCAAGCCACATGAACTGTGTAATCTGCGTGATTTCAAATCCATATCTTCACATCCATGTGTTTGCACTTGGATCTGTGTGTCTGTGATGAGATGTGGAAATGTGTAAACAAATCTATTAACATCGATTTCTTGTGTAGAGGAACGTGGATGTGTTTAATTCAGACGTATTTAAGCATCTCTAAACAATCTCATTAAATCACTCTGTCATTTACCGTAATCTGTAAAATAAGATGACAATTCAGTTACTTTTTCCTTTTTAAGTAAATCTGAGGCACTTAACTGTGGGAGTTAGTAATCGCTTTTTCAGTTTTTCATCCATGAATTTGCTAATAACTACCTCTTCTTTTACAGTACTTCATTAATAGTTTTTATACAGTGTCCCGATTCGCGATGTTGAGAACCAAAACAAATTAGAGGCCCAGGAGGATCCAATCAAACAGATGAGTTTATTGAACACACGTGTGGGAAGATGAACACTGCAAAACATCAGATGTAGATCTCCGCCCAAAAATACACTTCAGATTGCTTTTATAACGTCCGGGTTGGTTAACGCCCCTTCTCGCGTTGTACAGGAACATAATTTGTATTTTAAGAACATCATTTGCATGTTTTATAGACAATGAGCAATCTTAAGAGATAAATGCCGACACTGAAGTTCCCCTCTCTAGCATCTTCTCCAAATATGGCGATGGATTCAGGCTCTGACGTTTCCCAGGGACTGGTCCTCCTTTTTGGCCCATCTTCTGTCACCTGTTACTAAGCAAACTCCGATGCAACAAGAAGCCGGATACATTCAGGCCTTCACTCAATTGTAATTAATTTGATTAATGCAATGGTAATAATGATGAGTATGAGTAGCAGTAAAATATTTCCCTTATTCCACAACAGTATCTAAAGTTCTTCTCAGACACATTATACACTCCTCTAGCTTGATTGAAACACTTTGACATTCCTTGTTGTTCTTTCTGAAATAAAACAAGTTTAAAAGATAAACTGTTTTAACTGTGGAAACACAATCTTCGTTTTTTTTGGACAAATTGTCGCTCGGTGGAGTCACTGCCTTCATGAATGCGTTTGTTCCTGTCTTTCACTTTTGTCACTGAGCTGAGCAGCAGTCTCAAACCACAGCTTCTCCACCTGCTCCTTTCCTAACTCCCAGAGCTGCTGGAGAATGTTAACACCCTTTCTGGATGAAATCATCAGATACTCTTCATTTTCTGGCTGCAAGGTCACAGAGTAACGAGCTATAAGTAAGGACTGGCAAAAGCGGGACAGCACCAGCAAATATAGACAATCTTTCTCCACCTCATTGAGAGGAAGGACGCTTTCCCAGCCAGCAAGGACGGGTCCACCCACCTCGATGGGTTTAGGGTGCTCAATCATCATGTACATGACGGTGATTGCAAGCTCATGGATGTAGTAGCCACTATTCATGTCGCCAAAGTCCAGAATACCGGTGATCCTATAGCCTTCTTTTTCATTAGGCTGTACGAGGACATTGAGGTCATTGAAGTCGCCATGGTTAATGCCTTTAAAAAGACATTTGAAAAGTGTATTTGTAAAATCAAAAATCACTACATGAGAGACACACTGACAATGACTGCATACAATCAGCCAATGAGAAGCCAAGACAAGGTAATCAAGAAGTACAGTGCAAACTGTATGAGCAGCTCTCTGATAAACAGTTACTGGTCTTTAACCTTATGACAATAAATATATCTTATGGTAAGTCATAAGCATGTAACTGATACATGTAACAAGATAATATTGTATACTCACATTTGCGAAAACTAGAGCGTTTGGGATCCACAGAGCTCTTGTACGCTTGGATTACAGACTTCACAACCTCCAGCAGAGGCTCTCCGTCTAACACATAGAGGTAATCTTCCAGGAGGGCAACATTTGACAGACTCCATTTGAAGCCCTCTCTGTCCAGCACGTGAAGATGAGGGTGTTTCATCTTAAATTACACCAAAAATGCAAGACATGTGTAAATGAAAAATAACTGATAGACACATGTATTCTGGGCAGTTTCACGAAATTCTCTCCCAAAGATTCACTGAAAGTCTAACACAGAGTGGACGCCTTTAGAAGAGATTTCACAGGACTGTTACTATGATACCTTTTTAATGACTGTGTCCATTTTAGCTGCAGTTTTCCCCATTTCATACAGCAGCTGTGTAGTTGAAGGAACCTTGGAGATGGTTGTCCCAGGCAAATAGGTCAACAGTCTCACCAGGTACTTCTGACTGCCAAAACCACAATCTGCCAAAAGCAAGGATATGAATAATTATAGGCTTCAATAAACGTGAACATATATGGCAGAGCCCTGTTCAAGGGCACAGGCGTAACAATATTGCTAATTATGCAAACTTCCTTGTGTAATATTGCCCTTTAGCCCTGAGCCCTGATGTGTTACTCTACTCCTGCAGATGCCAAGTTTGCCTGTGGCTTATCTTTACAGATTATGTGCGAAAGCAACCGTCCAAAGGTCGAGTTCAACTACGCAGCACATTTATACTATGTCACAGAAACACAACTAATAAGCATGTGCAGTGTGCCAACATACTTAATTAATGATGGCAAGTCTTTGGACACTGGTTCACTCATTTTCTGTCAATTTCAGGATTTTGTTTAGGGTCTAGGACCCACAATGTCTGATCAGCCGTTAATGGTTGCATTTTGTGTTTCTTTGGTTATCTTTATCCAATAAAAAATGTATTTGGTGATCTGGAACATTTAAATATAAAAAAATGATAAGAAATCTGGAAGGAGACAAAGATGTTCACAGCACTGTAACATAAAGAAGTCTGCAGTAAGCACACAAAGTCTTTTGGGGGCTTCGTAGTCCTAGGTAGTCCCAGATTCTGTACATAAAGGTAAACTTTGTCAATATTCATTTTATCTAATATCAAAGTCTCACACTCAGTCTTTCTCTCATTTCAGTTTTATTGTTGACAAACTGAACGGTTTGTATTACAT